GCGGGGCGTGCTGTAGCGCGGCGGCGGGCGGGAAGGGGAGAGCGGGTTTCCCGTGGGGGGGGCGCGGCCCTGTGAGCCCCCAGCGTGTGCCGGGGCTGGCTGCTAGGCCAAGGAGAGGGGTCTGATGTGCGGGGCGGCGGCCTTCCCCCGGCGCTGGGATGGGTGAGGAGCTGCAGGATGGGGAGGAGCCTAGAGCCCTTAAGCGGGTTTGTATCGAGTCCAGGCCAGTGGGGACTGGAAATAATTATAAAAAAAGAAAAAAGCAGGTGATTGGCTGTTCCCTTGTCGTGCTTTGGATGATAGCTTGTTTAGGGGTTTGCTGGTGTGAGCTGTAATTAAAAGGCCATGCTCATAGTTTGTATTTAAAAATGAAGTAAAACTGGTTTAGGGCACAGTGGTTTCCTGGGTTTCCCTCCGTTTTCCTCTTCTTCCCAGTGCGTGTGGTGAGAAGGAACTAGATTAAAGCCAAAATACATCTGCATAAAGGAAAATGAAAGTAAATATGCTTATTGAAGGGCAGTCAAACTGGGGAAGTGAGGTGAAACTTCACTGGTATGTATATAACTATGTGCTTCTCAGAGGGCTGATGGTTATGTGAGGAGACGGCCATGGTTGTGGGGCTGTGGCCTGACATGTTATGTGGGCTCAACAGGAGGAGTAAAGTGTTTAGGTTGGCCATTCTTTGTCCTGTTTGCTTCCAAAGTTTCTCCACTCTTTCAATTTTAGCCTAGTATTTTTTTCCACACTGAACTGTTTTATAACACTTAAGATCACTGTATTTTGCTTCTGAGGGAATAGGATGATTTGGGGGATGATTAAAATGATATGCTGAGGGATTTCCTGTCTCTTGTAGTAATTTTGATTAAATTATTTTGCTTAAATGAACATCTTAGTATTGAATAGATTGCTGGCTGGCTGATTTCTGGTTAGTGAACCTAACTTCTGCCTTGTGTGCTTTGTGCTGTGCACTGGAGCAGATTATAGCAGACTCGTTAGCTTTGCGCAGAGTATGCTTGTGTTAGTCCACCTTTATCCACTCAAAGCACAACGCTTTGTACTACTTTCTTCTTTAACATCAAGCACCGGTTAGCATTGACCACGGATGCAACAGTCTTTTCTCACTTTGCATTTATCGCTATTTTTCCAGTAGAGGAAGCTAGGCGTAAGGACTTGCAGGGGCCTGGCGGAGAGTTGTGATGCTGAGCACAGAAAAGGGATTTTGCTTGCAGGCGGGTGGGAAACGTCTCACCAGGGTCTCTTTAGCTAAGGGGCTGTTATCGAGGGGGTTCTCCCAGCATCACACTGGGTTTGGTGGAAGAGGTGTGAGTGTTAGCTTTTGGGAAATAGGAGGAGCAGCTGTGCTCCCTCTCAAAGCTGCTGTTGCTTGTGGCTCCCTGCTCTCTGTACTTTGAGCTCTTGGATAAATACTACTATAATCGGATTAAAAGATTTCTGGGCCACTTATTTAATTTGTGTAGTATGTGGTATGGTCTCTTTTGTGACTGAGAGATACTTGTAAGTAAGTGTTTAGACCTATATAGTGAGCAGAGTATTTGGAGGTCAGCAAAGAGCCAAAGCAGCAGCCAAGTCTTCTTCACTTTCTATGTAAATAGCGTGAAGGGTGATTGGACCTGTGAACCTCCTGATTTCCAAATAGCCTTATTCAGGATAGTCCTCATTTATTTTCCTCATTGGTGCATGATTCCGTGAAGCATTTCTCTCATTCTGGAATACAGAGGTTAAACAGGAGAATTTTTTTTTAAAAAAGCTTTGTCTATTTTTATATACATATATATGTATGACTGGAGTGACAGTGTTTCTTCTCCTGTGCTATTCTCCAGGTTGTGAATCAATCCAAGAATGAACAAATGTAAGAAGCCTTGTGTTGACCAGACTGCAAACCTTGAAAAGTTCAGTCCTGAAATTCTTTCTGAAATTGAGAAGCTCTTTGCGAAGAAGTTTACTTACACTAAGCCAGTGAATAATGAATGGCGGCTGCCAGATCCCAGTGATGCTTTTACGTGCAATCATAAGGAATTCAACTCACTCCTGGCTCTGAAGAACTCTTTGAATGAAGTGAAGAATCAACTGAGTGATAAGAATCTGGATAAATGGCACCAGCACACCTCGTTTACCAATAAAGCGGGGAAAATAATTCCTCATGTGAAGAAATCTGTGAATGCTGAGCTGTGTACCCAGGCGTGGTGCAAGTTTCATGAGATCCTGTGCAGTTTTCCTCTTCTTCCTGAAGAAGCTCTTCAGGGTGGAGAACTGAATTCTGTCCATCTCTGTGAAGCACCTGGAGCTTTTATAGCCAGTCTCAATCACTACTTGAAATCCCACCATGTCCCTTGTGACTGGAATTGGGTAGCTAATACTCTAAACCCCTATCATGAAGCAAACGACAACCTGATGATGATCATGGATGACCGTCTTATAGCAAATACGTTGCCGTGGTGGCACTTTGGCCCAGATAACACTGGTGATGTGATGACATTGAAACATCTAACAGGACTTCAGAACTTTGTAAGTAATATGGCCACAGTTCACTTGGTAACTGCTGATGGCAGCTTTGATTGCCAGGGAAATCCAGGTGAACAGGAGGCTCTTGTCTCACCCCTTCATTACTGTGAAACGGTCACTGCTTTAATGATCCTAGGCACTGGGGGATCCTTTGTTTTGAAGATGTTCACGCTGTTTGAACACAGTTCTACCAACCTGCTCTTTCTGCTAAACTGCTCTTTTGAGGAGGTCCATGTCTTTAAGCCAGCCACTAGCAAAGCTGGAAACTCGGAGGCCTATGTGATTTGTCTTCGTTATATGGGCAGAGAAAGCATTCATCTGCTGCTTTCTAAGATGATAGAGAACTTTGGAACAGAAATGGTCAACAAAGCACTTTTTCCACAGCATATGCTGCCAGAATCTTTTCTTAAAATACATGAAGAGTGTTGCATGTTCTTCCACAAGTGCCAGGTAGAGACCATCTCTGAGAATATCCATCTCTTTGAGCGCATGGAAAAAGCAGAGCAGATGAAACTGAACAAGTTAAGAGATTGTGCAGTAGAGTTCTTCATGCAGAGACTTCGTATGAAACCCATTGCCAGAAATAACTGGCTTGTCAAGAAATCTCAAACTGGTTGCAGCATGAATGCAAAATGGTTTGGGCAAAGAAACAAATATTTTAGTACGTACAATGAAAGGAAGATGCTGGAAACCCTGACATGGAATGATAAAGTGGCAAAGGGCCATTTTGATCACTGGGCTGAAGAACATAGTTTAAATAATGCTGGTAAAATGTGCATCTTGGAAGGATCGTCTTCTAACCTCGAGTGTAGTTCGTGGTACATTTTGGAAGGAAAAAGACTACCAGTGGTAAAATGTTCTCCATTTTGTGATGGTCAAGTCTTCGAAAATCTTAATGAAGCTATGAATGAATTGGTAGGGGGGAGGCTGAAAAGCAGACAAATGCTGCAGATTTGTCACTCCTGTGAAGTTCTTCCTGGGGAACTGATACTGGCAGAAGTGTCTGATCTTTCCCGGAGTCATCAGGAAGTCCTAAATGAAAGATGCAGTGACAAATTCAAGTGCCTTGTGGTGGACTTTCCATCCCTCTGTGATACTGAAAACCAACCCAGTATGGAAATAAAGCTCCTGGACTCGGCCACACTGCTGACTTTTAGCTTCTCTTTGCTTTATGATGGAGAACCAAAGTACCAGCAACAGCTTTTGGAGTGTGTTCTGCATTCATTGAATCAGCTTACAATGGGAGATGCATTGATTTTGCCTATTCTTTCTTGTTTTACACGCTTCACAGCTGGCCTGGTCTTTATACTGCATTGCTGTTTCAGATATATCACGTTTGCTTGTCCGACCTCCCATGAACCACTAAGGACTAGTGCTGCTTTGCTGTGCGTTGGTTACCGAGGCCTCCCAAATCCAGTTGTTGAATATCTGCAGCATCTGAAGAAACTAATGAGCTCTTTATTAGATATGGACTCTCCCCAGCAAGTTTTGCAGTTTGTGCCTATGGAGGATCTCCTCCAGGGCAAACTGTTGGAGTTCTTATGGGATTTGAACACAGCCATTGCAAAGAGACAACTCCACTTGATTGTGCAAGCTAAGCAGCAGCAAATGACTAGTAATATTTCACTTTAGAATAACTCTAGAGTTGAGTGAGTTGCTGTTGCTAGACCTTGTTTCACAGGCAGGTAGAAGGTGTTAAAAACATTGTTAATGTGAAGGTAACTTTAACTGTAAAACCTTGGTGTGACATTGTTAGTGTTGGGAGGATGTTTTGAGGTATCAATCCCACTTGCACCATATCATCCTGTTGTACGGAAACCTGAGGCTTAATCTCAGGGCTGGGGGACTTGGGAGGGACAGTGATTGCAGTGGAGAAACTTTCTCCTCTGTCACAGCTCTCCCTGAGTCAATTTGTGTGCCACCTAGGTCAGAACTGTGCCTTCATGATGAGAGGTGGTATGGTGATTTATATGTCTTGCATCAGGCCAGACAATGGGGGATGCTGTTGTGTGACATTAGCCCTCTTCTGTGGACCAACATGTGGGAGCTTTGATGCACCTGCATACTTTTCCAGGGTCTGTAGAAGCTGAAATGTGAGATTCGGGCCAGAACGTTCAGCAGCGTGCAAGCCTGATGAAAGACTTGAGGGATGAGTGTGTTGTGAGCAGGCAGCTGTCTCACAAAGGCTGGGTTGAAAATGACTGCCTGCAAGCAGTAGCAGAGGTGTCCAGGCAAAGATGCTCTTGGGTTTTAATTTTGTTTATGCAAAGAGCAGCAGGCTGTATGGTTTTTGACAGGTTATTGTATGGCTTTGTCTCCCCATCAATGAATGGGCTGTTATAATGTTATTTTTAAGTGGCTTTTGGGTCTTCCTTAGAATAATTTGAGACTCCTGAAAGTGAAGACTTGCTTCTGTCTATGGCAGCAGCTATTAATGAGGAACTCCTAATGTTTTTCAGGCTAAAAACATGATCGTGCACAGATTTGTGTATCAAGGAATGCTTTGGGTACCACTGGAGAAGCATTAAGCTGAAGAAATACTTTATTTGGAAAAGTATGATTAAGATTTCAGTTGGTTCCCCTTAAGGATAAAAATGATGAAATTGGTAACTGACTGTTCCTTTAAGGGAGTCAAATTTTATTTTCCATATTGCTCCTTTGAGAGCTAAATTTTGAGGCCTAAATTGTGTATATTAACATTTAGTTTTAAGTTTGTAGTATATGTGGAAAAAACCTGCTCAGAGGGAGAAATGATGTTTAAAGGAAAAATGGCTTTGCTGTTGATATGTGCAAGATCTTGCAGAAAAAGGTCAAAAGAGTGAGTTAGTAAGAAGGAAAATGTAGTCTCCTGATGAATTACCAGTCACCTTCTGGAAGCATTTCTAATTGTATGGTGTTGGAGCTTGAAGGATAATTGATTACTGGTAAGGGATTAAAAGCACTGCTGAAAAACTGTTTTGTCTGGAGGTGCTGCACATTTAATAGGCTTTCTTGCCATGTTGATTGGGGCAGAGTTTAGTGCATTTAACAGTTCATTTTTTATTTAATAACATGATAGGTGAATGAGTTGGTGGCTCAGGTCTAATTCATAACATTTTTTAAAAATCTTGCTTTTTACAGTTGCACATAAATAGAAGCTGCCTAACAAAAGCTTCTGGGATTGGTCATTGTCCATTTTAATTTATTTAAATAGAACTTGCTCTTTTTGCTGTGAGCTGAGTCATGTTCCTCTCAAACCAGGAAGGAAGGGAACAGAGGCTACAGACTGGGAGATAACATGCAGTAAGAGCTTCTCCTGTAAATCATTTTTTGAACCTGTAAGCTCAAGTGCAAGCAATGCCACAGATGACTTTCACCAAAGAAAAAAACCAAATGCTGAAAAACAAAATAAGGAAGGGGGGAAGAAATGCTGTAGAAGAATGGATGATGAGACAGTATCAAAGATCACCTGTAAAAGCCATCTTTATGTGAAACAAAAAGCAGAATAAAGGTATTTTCCACGAAAGACACCCCTGTATCTCTGCCACTGTTTCAGAGGTGATTAATGCTTCTGAAACTCCCACTGTGCTGAAGCAGGGGTAAATGAGATATTTCAAGTGCATGGGTGTGCTTACACTGTGATATTCTGCCATGGAGGCATGAGTAGCCAGAAGCATCTCGTCTAGTAGGTACTTAAATAACTTGGTTTTTTTTCTTACTAACATTAGTCTAATATTTTTAAATTATTGTTTTACAGTTAAAGTAAAATCCTGAGGTTACTGACAGACCATGAGGGAAAATGCATTTATTTTTTCAAGCTTTCCTTGGTCTGTTCCGTACATCTGACAAACTATGCAGACTTCCTTGAGATTCCTCCCATCCCACCATTCCCCATATTGTCAGACATATCTGTCTTTTTTCATAAATTTTTAGGAGAAAAGCTTTGGGGAAGTTAGGACTCTGTACTTCAAGATACAGTAGACTGAGCTGGTGGGGAAGCATAATCCATCTGTTTGGAAGTATCCCCAAAGAAATGTGTGCAAGCACTCCTGTGGAAAGCCAGATCTCTAAACAGAAGGAAATCCAATGTCCTGTGGATCCTGATGGCCGATTTAGTCGAACTTTTCTGTTGGCAGATGTGGGGAGGTGACAGGAGAAATGCTTTGACAGCAGCTGTTCCTGTTAAAAAGAAAGGATGTGGTCTTTTTTTATTATTACTCTTGTCTTAATGGCAGGAGTTTCAAAGTTAAGAATGACACTTGTCCTTTTAATTGTGAGAATCCTGCACTGTCCTAGCTGTTTTTAGACCAAAGATTTCTTTGAGAAGAAGTGACACTTAATTTCTGTTGTGACTTTTGGAATATGTAAGAATACACGGGAAGAATGTATTAACCTTTGTGGAGAGGGTCTGATGACTCCTGCCTTCATCGAAGCTGTTAGTTTTTGGCCAATTTGATTTGATTTTGGGTGACACCTGATGAAGTGTCTCAGTGTCCTGGCTGCTTTTAAGTTGTTTTTTTACTGGTTTGAAGATGAACTGGATATTGGTTTTCATAATTAGGAGTTTCAGGCTTCACACAGGGGAAGATAGAGGGGGTAGAAAGAATAAGTTGGTTATGACATGATTGAGATTCATGCAGACTTGAGGTAAATTTAGTTTTGCAGCTCTGCTGTTGCAGGTTTCAATGAAGGACTGATATCTAGGCCGCAATGATTAGCTATGAGCTACATTATTTTTCTGGAACTTTTTGGATCTTCTGTTTTAAGACAGCATAACATTTTGAAATCAGTTGCATGAAGGTTGAATGAATTGGGTACTCTGCTAAGTGAAAATGCTGGTTTGTTGGTTTTTTTAAAGTTGAGTTCCATTAAAGTTAAGAGACTTGCTACTTATTCTTACTAAATTTGTATTGTGTTGAGATTCATTTGGATGTGCACAGATTGTGTGTGTTCTTGCCACTGGCTTTCCAATTTAATTTCTACAAAAAAAAAGAAAAAAGAGATTTCTAGTATGAAATCTGGTAGTCTATTAGAATGATACTAATTGGTGTCTATTCATCTTAATTTAAGCTGAATATGTCAAATTACTGGTTGTAAAAGTAGAGTATGTAGCAGAACTGTATTCTATTAGAAAAACAACTTGGGACTTAATGGAAAGGGATTAATATTGCCCACGTAGAAAGTAGGAGGAAAAAAACCCACCTTGATTTCTGACCTAAAGCTGTGTGCTTTAGGATGCAGAATAACATTGCTTCCAGTGAATCAAGGATTCAAGGGTTGACCAGTAAGATGAAGCCTCAGAGCCTTATAGCCTCCTGTTACCATCTGTAAAAACTGTCTTTTGACATCCTTTTAATTTACAGTTGATTTAGTTCTTAGTAGTGAAGTGGGGGAATCCCTGTGTAACTTGTCCTACCATTTTGGGTGGTATGAAATGGTGGTGTTTATCAGTATTAGTCCCTATTTCCCACTTTTAAACCAGCGTCTCTAAATTTCACCTTGTAGCCTTTGAATATCAGTCTTTTTTTTTTTTAGCACTTTAGTGAGTGAAGACTGAGATTAAAATTTCCTTGCCAAAGTCTGGTAATGGTTTTTCCATCTCATTCTTGCAACTATTTTTGTGAATGCCATGCTGATATCCTTAGTTCCAGTTCTTTGTGTGTTTCAGTCACTTGACAGAAAGATCAAATGGAGCTGTTTATGCCAGAAAAGTGCTCAGCCCATGACTGTTCATTGCTTACTCTTTAGGCAATAATTTGGATTGCCATCGAGCCCTCTCTTGTGACTCCATATGGGTCCAGAGCTGATTTCAAGCCTTAAGAATGAAAATTTGCTAAAAGAATTAGCCAGTGGCTGCAGACGCGCTTATAACAAGCAGAACCTTTAGGAGACATTTAAATGCAGGAAACTTATCCACCAGCCAGGAGAGGCTCATATAACATGCAGCTGGCAGGATTTGCTAGCCTTTCCTTGCTAAAAATTGTTAAAAAAAGGCTTTGAGGCATAACGACCTGAACAAACAGTTCCCCAAGTTGTGTGCCACCTTTCTTGTACACATGGGTATGTTCATGTTTGCAGGTGTGGAAACCCCCAGGATTGTACAGCCATGAAGATTTCACTTTAATCCATGTATGCTTTTGTTTTGAAGGATGTATGTATTTTTCTAAGTAGATGTGGGTATGTTGGTTTACATGGCTATTGCATATTTTCATTTGGTCTGCAAATGAGTGTTAAAAGACCTTTTTTAAAAAGAAAGGGAAAAAATGTTGTTTGGAGGAAATAAAGTATTTTATTTTAGGTTTAAAATGTTTCTATTTATGTGTTTCTTTACTAAATGTGGAAAAAAACAATGAAGCATGGTAGGGAGAAGTCTGGGGAGGTTTAATATTTCATTTTTTTGAGCCACAGTTTCCTCATCTTGCCATTTTGATCCATCCTTAATGAGCAAAGGGTACAGGGGCATTGGAGCACACTGCTCAGTGGGGGTGGTGTTTTGTTCCCACTTTCTTTAACTGTCTTTACTTTTCCAGTTTGCTATCTCAAAGAGAGACTCCAGTTGCAAATGTGGTCAAAGCAGTGTGTAGGAGGCCTGCACACAGTTCTGTTGGCTGTGTCACTGAGCCTTACAATCTATATCCCCTTGTATGGTTGCTGTAGCTTTTTAACAGCAAGGATTTTGTCTTAAGGATCTTCAGTGGCTATGACAGCCACTCTGGTAGGACAAGGCTGTTATACACTGTACTTCTGTCTGCAAAGTCTATTATTAGTCCTTATCCAAATGTTTTCATTCCAAGTGCTTGCCTTAACTGAATGGTACTAAGTAAAAGCTGTGTGCCTTACTCCTCAGGGTTGGCTCTGCTGTACTGACAAGGGTTCTGGCTGATTGTCTTTCGTTTTGGCTATCCAATTTATCTTGAGACTGCTTGCTAACTAGTTTTGATTGCAATTATTAATGCTAATTTTTTTTAATTGCCTTTCTCTTTGGAAGTGAACTCCAAATTAGAGAGCTGGGGAAGATCTTTCTGTGTCCTGGAGGTATGAGATGACACAAGAAATGTATACTGCTCTGATACCTTAATTTCTTTATAGCTAGTAGGTGTTTGTTGTGTTGAGGAAACCTTTAAACCAGAAGTGGTGTTGAATGTATGCTGAAATGCAGGACAGTGTCTTGTTTGATTTTAGTGAAGCTCTAGATGGTAAACATTGGCTGTTAATGTCAAAATGTACTTCAGGGGACATGAGGACTTTAGAACTGAATGGTCTTTGAAACGGGGGGCTGTGTTAGAAGAGCCTGTTAGAGGGGTTGTCGAATTGATTTTGGTGGAAATACTGTTTCATGTGGTTTTACTGAATTATAGGGAAATGTAAATGCTCAGAATTGTATTCAAACTCAAACAGTTCTATGAAATGTTTGCATTCCCAATGTAACAGTGTAAAAACAGTGCCTAAAAACATATGAAATGGCAGATTAGAAAGTAAAGGGAAAATGTGGATGTCTTCATTTTACTGCTGCAGACCTTAAAATCTGCATGTGTGACTTCTTCAGACCTTAAAGTCGATTTATACACTACATTATGTTGATTATATAACTTGTTTGAATTTTGATAGATCTTAATATGCCAGTTTTTGAGTTTAAATAGTTGCTGTTGAAAGCTAAGCCAAATCATTGAGCACAAAGCAAATCAGCTCTCTCCCTGGCTGAACAGATATTTAGCAAATTCTCTCTTACTGTGTTGTGTCAGGTCCTTGGTGTCCCCCAGCGAGACTGGGGAGATGAAATTTTACCAATAATGCAACTTGTACTTGAACTAGTGCACTGCAGTTAATGGCCCCTTTTATTAAAACAATATTTTTCCTCCATAGGAATCTTGAACACATCTATTAAAGTGCATCTTCATAGTGCTTTACTAAATGAGGATGACTGTTGCTTGTTAAAGAATTGATTTATCTAAATTGGGGGATAGCAGGGAGAAGTGGATAGATATTCAAATCTTATTTGTTGCTGAAGGCAGAGATCATTATCTGTATAGCTAAGAGATGCATGCTGCCTGATACAACTGAAAGCTCATGTGGAGGTCCCCTTAGGTCCTAAGCTGTCAGGTACCTGTGCCTCAAAACAATGATCCAGTAGCCAGTTGATAATGAAACCTCAATTAGACTAAGGAATGAAGGGACTGTGGTGGTGAAGTGCCTTAACTTAAGTCTCTGGTGGCTTAAGGTGATTAAATACTTGCTTTATAATCAGTTGACTGCCCCAGGTTGATGACAGAGCACAACTCAATGCTGTTGAGTTGCAAGGTAATGAAATCTGTCTTGGGGTCACAGTTAAACTCCATTCCAAGGTGGCTGCTAAATAGCTACATGTTCCCTCAAATAATGATGCTCTCTGACAGATGAGTGTTCGCTGAAGGAGTGCAGGTGTGGGGCAGAACTGCTGCTCCTGGGCATTTCTGAATCATGGGACCCATCTGAGCAGCTGGGGCTCCCTGCCTTCATTACTGCAGCAATGCTGGTAGAAGGTACCCAGCTATGTAGCTTGAGTATACCATGCTGCAAGCTGTGTAGACAATATATAGAGCCCTGTGTGGAG